GTCACCCGTCACGGCGCGGAGCACGGCAACGGCGCGAAGCACCTTCCTGTCGCGGCGCGAGGCTCTTCACGGCGCGGAGAGAAAATGAGTGATCTCTGAAGCTCCTCGCGGTCGTGACGATGGCGTGAAGCTTGTGTCCTTGGCCCATGCACGCATCACATTCCATTTTAAGTTCGTACAACTTCGTTTGTACTCGAAATCGAGTTTCGACTTTTCCATCACGTAACCAACTGCCTTCTCTATCCAATAGTTATTCACCAACCCAAAATATTTTTTTTTTCAAACAACTCCTCGTCGGATCCTCAGACCTACACACCAATAATTAAAACAATGCGGCAAATAGGAGAAAAATACCGAAAAACACACAAAAGGCTCGAACTAAACTAAAAACACACAATAAAACACAAAACACACATTAATACTAAAAGTAATGACATAAAACGGAGAAAAAGAACGACGAAAATATAAGAAAATCGACACAAAAATAGGACAAACAACTCCCCCACACTTAGCTTTTTGCTTGTCCTCAAGCAAACAAAATAACAAATAGCTTGAAAAGATATATTGACCGGTCCAAAATTAACAATCGTGCAATCACGCAATTCTCATTATCCTCCGGTGATCATAGAACCAAACTCAAATTTGAAAACATATTCCCCACAAAATAAACTCGACAAAACCAAAATTCGTCCCGTGTCATCTACACATGATTTACTCGATCAATGCCCCCTTCCAATACATAAACGCACAAAAAGCTAAATAAGATCTGATCAACATAAGAAAATATAAACGAGACCTTAAACCAACTCCCTTTTTATATCTTTTTTTTTTAAATGAGTCACTTTTTCCGAATGAGAGCCGTTGGGACGATTATTACTTAGGTTTATCCTCGAGGGGTTTCCTCGAGTCTCCCAAGCCGGTTTCCCATACTCATTAGTTCGATTCGCCTAGACCAACCGAACCAAGTGGAGTTTAATCCTTTCAACTCTCACGAACTCATTTCTGTGAGTTTATTTTTCCAAACGAGATTTTCGAACAATGATTATCTAGGTTTATCCTCGAGGGGTTTCCTCGAGTTTCCTAGACCGGTTTCCCGGGCTCATTATCCCATTTCACAAAGTGGCTCGGAATAAGAGGAGCCTAGTCCGTACTTCATCGCGAACTCACATTATTCTCATTTTTTTTTTTTTTTGGAAGTGGCACAAATCGATACATTCACGAATAGCATAACACGTTGAGCAAGAAGTAGACATATCTCTAGTTCATCAATCGAAAATAATAAGGGACAAAAACAATTTAGTGAATTCACATGCAGGTTCTACTTAACAAATAATCGATCAATTCTATAATACCGTCCAAATCATCAAATTCATAATGCACAAAAGTTAACAATGAATCCAATCAATATTCTCAACTTACTACTTATTATCTCGACTCTCGAACAAACATTAAGCATCATGCGGGAGAGTAGACACAAACATACAAATACACAAAAAAAATAAAACACCAAAAACGAGCAAAATATCACATAAACATGCATAATCACGAAACCCTCCCCCACACTTAAAACAAAGCAATGTCCTCATTGCTTAACCCAACAAGTATAGGAGAAAGCACATAATCATTCAAGTTCATGCGATAACAACGGAAACAAAATACTAGAAGCAAAAGAATCACGAAGACACACAAGAAACAAATAAATAAAGAGAAAATAGGAAAAGAAAAATGCATACTCGAAACGGTGGTCGCTACCACCGTGTGTCCAATAGTGATAGTCCGGAGGAAATAGAGGAAATCATCCGAAAGCCGTCAAGCATAATGAAGCCGTCCAAATGGTGTATTAGTGAACACATGAAACAAGCGAGGCCATACGTGTGTGTCTCAGAGGGATGGTAACCGTGGATGCATAAACTCGACGTAGACATACGTACTCATGAAAGCGCAAAATATCGGCCTCAAGATCCTTGTCGATGCTCGCCATAGCGCTCACGCAATCAACTCCGCATGAATGATCATCGGCGCTTCGATACATTCTGCCTTGAAAACAACACTCCAAACACTCTCATTATTCAAAAATAAAATAAAAACATAAACGAAACACACAATAAAACAGTAA